TCGTCTTTTGAAATATTTATCATCGTATTATGAGGTTATTCGGTAATTCTGCTGATTATGAGAAAATTAACGTGGATCCACTGTCGCGTCTCTTGTGAATCTACAATGATCTTCGACTCGACGACTTAAGATAATTTTCTCACACGATATATTTGTTAAATGATATTCGTGTCTACGCATGTACATAAGTGCATAATTTTCGAAAATTAATTGAAACTTTATCATAGATCTTTTTCGTAAATAATCATAATATATGAATAACAAATCATATTAATAATAACCAATTTTATAGAAACAAAATTATTACCTAACGTATGAATATTTATGTAAGGAATTTATGGTTAATATATAACTATTAATTTCATTTCCATTTTAATAATATTTTGAATCATGCGCAAATGATATATGCCAGCATATTTATGTAATAGATAATTATAATCATTTAACTAGTAAAATACTGAAAATAAATGTATGATATTTATTCGCATAAGTAAATAAATCTGAAATCTTAATGTTTTGAAAAAGTTTTAACGTTTTATCAACGACTTTACGATTACAATAAATATGTCTTTAAAAAATATTAATTCCTTAACCAAAGTTAAATTACATTTTATCCTCAAACGTGATCATTAGTATCGAAAAAAGTTTAATAACGTATTTGAGACACTTATATTCTAAGGTTCTAGTTCCTATTTTATTCATGAAACAATTTCTATGCGCTGAATGCCTATTAGGAATTTCTATTTATACGATAATGTTAAACATTATTGCAATTTCATTCGAATTTTGTTAATAATGTTAAGATATTAATTTAAAAATTCTAATCAAAACAATAATTCTATTAGTATTAGATTTCCATAATCATGAAATTTAATAAAAACTGAAATATATTTTTTTTTTTTTATTCCTTCGTTGCTTTATTAACAGTTTTAGAGTTTCAAATACCCATCCCTTTTATTCATTTTCTGCTTCTTCCTTTTTACGCCTTCGATCTATTTTTTTTTTTTTTTCATCTAGCTGGTTGCTATTCGTCAGCGACTTGAGAACTTTACTGTTTGTCGACGTCAACGACATTGATTTATCGTTTCTTCGCCAAAAGGATAGGCAATTGTGCAATTCTGGTTCAAGAAGGAAAAATTTCGTTAACGACCAAAACTTTCTCGTTCTTTCTGATCCCATGGAATGCGCCAAAAGTTTTTTAAAGTGCGGTAAGATAGGATATTACGTCTTATGCTTTTCTTTAACTAAAAATTTTATCTAAAAGCAATACAGCATTATATTTATTTTCTTTTATTAATTGATTCACACAATCTATGGTATACTTCTGCTATATTCATTATGAATGGAAAATCAATTACGTACGTATCTATATAGTTGGAACATTCTTGTAATAATTATGTTATGTCGAATAATTAGACCGAATTAAATAATTATTATTAAAAGTTGAATTATTATGTTATTTGAAAAATAGATAAATAATTGTAAAACCTTTAACTTTCATATTTAAAGCACAAATTTCTTGAACAGAAAAAAAATTTCAACAATACAAGTACATATATAGAAATAACAAGATATATATATTAAATTTTTTACTTAATAAAATGTTAATAGCCTTCATATATATATATATATATATATATATATATATAACAATAGAATAATATATTTCATAGAACATTTTTTAAAAATTCTTATTCAATTTGGCTAAAAATTTGTGCCTCATACAATGTTGGAAAAATGTTTTTTTTTTTTCAATAAATATGATGTATAACTGCATTTTATTCTTAATCTAATTAATTCTTAATAAGGCAAAAATTAATTACGATAGAAAATTCGACAAATTTATCTGACAGTGAATGTTTGAAAAATGTCAAGTATTTGAAAGCGAAATGAATTTTTTCATAAATGTTTATTTAATTACGATTTATAATTGATTAAAAATTCACAATAAAAGAAAGAATATTATTAAAATTTTAATAAATTCAAAAGGATGTAAAATTTATTTAAAAGAGTCGCTAAAAAGCATTTATATTTAGTTTTTTAGAATATGTGAAAAGATTGTACTCCTTTTTTCGGGAACGAATACAATTTTTTTTTTCACAACAATTATATTCTAATTTGGTCCAATTTTACAAATAACGATATTTATCAGTATGATAATATTCATAAAATAACGAAAACAATTATAAGATATATACGACTCCAATTTTTCGTTGCCGTCTACATATATATATATAATAACTATAAGCAGATTTGTTGCATTGCATATTAAATATTAAGTTTTAAAGATACACTAATATTTTAAAGAATTTATAGTACAATGATATTATCCAAAGAGTATATAAACATTCAAGTCTTTCTTAAATAATTAAATTCGTTACATATATATTTAATCTAATGAAATAAATGTTTATTGGGTAAAACACAATTTCCGATGTATTATTAATCCGTTGCAATTTAAGTAGTATATTTTTATAAAGTGCAGGTAGCTTTTCAAAAAGAAAGTTCTGAAATCTTACAACTTAATTGGAAAATAATGGAGGATGGAGTAAAAAGTTCTTGTTGTGCTCAATGTGCTGAGACAAAATATTTAAAAATAACAAATATATAAAACTATTTAATAAAAAAAATATTTTTTCCGTGATTCAAATAGACTATCCAAACGATGAAGATTTTTACTATGACATCTTCTTACCATATAGAAAATTGTTTAAAATTTAAAGATAATTTAATCCTAATAAATAATACATATTTTCTTACAAAATAACAATGTTTATAATTGTTGAAATTACATTATTGATGCTGTTGTTGTTGTTATTATTATTATTATTATTATTATTATTATTATTATTATTATTATTATTATTATTATTATTATTATTATTATTATTATTA